GGGACGGCATGGTCTGAGGGTTTTGGTCTTTGGAATTGTGTATGGAATGTATAACTTACTAGGTGTGAAGGTAGATAGCTCGTTGGATTGTGAGTTTCGTGTTTAATGTTTGCGCCTTTTCGTTACTTGTTAAGATGATAACACACGTGAGTAAGTAGAAGAATCATGATGTACGCAAATCGTATTTCAGGCACAATGTATCTATCCTCTACAGTATGCAGACTAAGCTTCGTCTGTTACATAATTCCAAAGAAGGGCAAGTGGCCACCTACAAGAACAAGAAACTCACTACCAACACTCCATCACAACAAATCCGACTTCTCCTTCTCCTCATCAACCACCGTTCTAAATTCCTCAAATGCCTTCTTGTCCATAGGATATGTATGTTCCGTGGCCGGGTACTCCCTACTCTTAACCTCATCTCTATACTGGCTAATGGCCCTATGTGCCTCTTCCCACACATTCCCATACTGCTTGACAAACTTGGGCAAGAACCGTCCAGGTGGGAAGTTTCCTAGCATATCAACCTGCACGAGCACCTGACCCGAACAGCCATTACCCGCTCCAATACCAATTGTCGGTATACGCAGTTCCCTAGTAACCACGGCAGCGACTTCGGCGGGTACGGCCTCGAGGACTACAGCAAAGGCACCGGCTTCCTGAACGGCGAGCGCATCGTCAAGGAGTTTCAAGGCAGAGTATGTGGATTTGCCTTGGACGCGGAAACCACCAAGCGCGTTTTGGCGTTGGGGTGTGAGGCCAATGTGCGCGAGGACGGGGATGCCAGCAGACGTTATCTTAGCTATTGTAGAAGCCATTTCCTTGCCGCCTTCCAGTTTGACAGATTTGACGCGCCCAATCTTGACCATGCGGATAGCGGATTCGAGGGCTTGGGCAGGGGAGATCTCGTAGGTTCCCATGGGGAGGTCGCCGACCTAGGGGACTGTTAGTGGGTTGAGATGGTTGAGTTCGAGTGGAGGGGAACGTACTGTGAAAGCGCCTTTTGTTGCGCGCGCAACGGATTTGCAGTGGAGGAGCATCTCTTCCATCAGCACTTCGCTGGTGTCTTCCATGCCTAGTGCTACCATGGCCAGACTGTCTCCGACGAGTATCATGTCCATGCCGGCGTGATCGGCGACGTGTGCGCTGGGAAAGTCGTGCGCGGTTATCATGGTGATGGGCTCGTTCTTGCGGTATAGACTCTGCAGCGTGTTGAGAGTGACGGGTTTACGGGTGTTTGCTGGCGCAGAGCCCAGTGGAGAATGTGAACTCCATCGGATTTGTGCGGAAGGCAATATAGCTCGCGATATCGATGGCAGCGGCGAGTATGCACGTGGTGTTGTCTGAATATGTCGCGAAGACGTTCGCAGCACGTTCATGAGGGCACGCGACATGGCGGCGGTGTCGCAGGTGTGGTTGTGGTGGGTATTTTGGGCGGTAGAAAATTTGTCAGAGCCCCTGAGGACGGTGTGGAGGTTTGTTCGTAAGCCATGGTCCTAGGGCGGGATGGGTGTTGCTTTTAAGCAACATGTGCAGAGAGCTGCGCTGAAGATTGTATACCTAACCTTGGAGTTTTGGAAGAACCGAGGGTCAGCCTGCGCCCAGACGCCAGGGGTCTGGATGTGCCCTGATTGCTTCGGCGGGTCGATTCTTCGGTACGCCCCGCCTTTTGACTATGACTATGTGTATTGTAGCGTGTCTCTTCTATCTGTCCTTGTATTCTTACACTTCCAGCGCTGTGCCTCGAATTGCAGAGAGCGTCGTTCGGACCGGCGGTGAAGGCCCCAGGCGAGGATCTCGGGGAAGCTGCGGCATTGCTCCTCAGTGATTGGATGTCGGTCCCAGCAGCCTCAGTCTGCATTGCACTTATACTGTCTTCAGCTGTGCGGTCGGCATAAGCTTCAAACAAATGTTGGTTTATTCAGACGCAATTGAAGATTGCTTCGTTCCATCTACGCTGAAGTGTCAAGTCAGATCAGGTAGCCGTCGGGAACCAGCCAGTCTGCGTTTGGTAAGAGACGTCCCGCTTCATGCACGGCGAGTGCATCTCAGTCCTTCTGTTGTTCTTGTGCATCACTGCCGATAATTTCAGGACGCTTTGTTATACTTGGTAGATTCAGGTGCTGGGTTTGGATGGCTAGGTACGCGTGGCACACGGTGACGTAGCCTTTGGAGTCATCCTACCTAGATATCCACACAGCTTGCGAATCGACATGTAAGCACCTGGGTAGAGTCAGTGATAGTAGAAGTATGTATTATGATGACTGGAGAGCGGCGTCGTTATGAATGCACGAGAGACACGCGGTCGCGCCGTGGTCTCGGCGATGACTTGCCCGGCGAGACGTGCGCAAGCGTGACATGCCGGTATCGAGCTCGTGATCGCGACTACCGCGACCATCATTCCCGCCTCACTGTTCCTGCCCTTTGACACGTCCGACCCAAAGACGCGACAACAACACACATTCACCGATCGACATCCTTACCAGGGTTCAAACAACCACGATCTGCCAGCAAAGCACACACCACTTGCCAACGAACGCGCCCCTCATCCGCTATCGATAGCCCCGCCGCCTACCTCACGAGAGCTCTCACTGCGAGCTGCGCACTGCCGTATACAACTTAAAGACGAGTGGAAGACTAGGGAAGAGCAAAGTTCTTTACAGGTCGCGATATCAGGAACGCCAATATGAGTTCGCCAAAGAGACGTATTGAGACGGATGTATGTGGAGACCTTCACCCCGGTGGTTGCTGAGCAAAGGACAAGAGCTAACCGAGGCCTCTTTCCAACTATACAGGTCATGAAGTATGTTGCGCATGTTTCCTGCTGTAAGATAGAATGCTAACACGCCATCAGGATGTATGTCGACCAATTTACCGCCTTCTTCGCGCCACGCGCCTGGCAACCATGGTGAATCCTGATAGCTGATACAAGGCAGGCTTATGAGCGACTACGAGGTGACTCTGGTCAACGACAATAGTGAGTAACATGACACCCATTCCTATCGGATACACAGCTAACATCCCGTAGTGTCAGTCCTTCCTACCATCCGAATCCGCATTCGCCGAAACGACGCTGACACACCACAGGCAGGAGTTCTACGTTAGGTTTAAGGGCCCAGTAGAAAGTAAGTCGCGCACGCGCCATGCGCATCATCATGCGCTAATGAAGGACAGCGCCATTCGAGGGCGGGCTTTGGAAGATCCATGTCGAGTTGCCTGATCAGTATCCGTATAAGAGCCCTAGCATCGGCTTCGTGAACAGGATATTCCACCCCAATATCGACGAACTGTACGAACTATACCCCTATTTGGCTTCATTGGAGAATACCCGCTTACTTGTACAGCTCTGGCTCCGTCTGCCTCGACGTTATCAACCAGACATGGTCACCAATGTACGACATGATCAACATCTTCGAGGTCTTCCTTCCTCAGCTCCTGCGTTACCCAAACCCGACCGATCCTTTGAACGGCGAGGCCGCAGCCCTCCTTATGCGCGAACCTAAGAGCTACGAGGCCAAGGTGAAGGGTATGTATACAAGGGTGAGTCGTGTGAGCCAGGCTAATGTACATCTAGAATACGTCCATAAGTACGCCAACAAGGACACTGCCGAAGACTCTGACAAAGACGATGGCGATGACGACGAGATGAGCTCTGTCGGCAGCTACGAGTCAGGCGATGAAGATGAAGCGGCGGGTAATATGGAAGACATCTGAGGCAACCCTTCTTCGGGTGCTATCAGTCTCCTTTGTATTGTCCACGACCTTTCTTCTTCACTCTACTTCCATGGCTGGACGTTCACGGCGCTGATATGGCGCATATAAAGGCCACATTGCTACATATTCCCCTGACATGTGGCTGCTTTACGGTTTGGTTCTGGGATTGGATCTCTCTGTTGGCGTTTGTGTCTTGCTTTTGAACTCCATAGTAGGCTTGTGACTAGGATCATTTCCTTCGTCACTCTTGTGTAGGATTGGTCGGATGACCTTTTCGATCTTATAAGTTGAGGCCGATGTTAGAGGTACTGTATGCTATTACCTGACATTTCCTCTCACTACTCGCTTTGCTCAACTCTTATATCAGTCCTTCTCCCATGTCTTTTCGTCTTTCTTACAACTCTATGAACTCACTCTCTCTACTTGTTCGTTGCTGTTTCCGTCAATTCGTACAGCACATGCAATAAGTATCGCACTCACCTGCTGTACCTGGCACATGAACGGATGCCTTCCTGTGGGACAGGTTCCTGTCCATTGCAGCGAGCTACCATCGCTCTTTATTGGCTATTACTCTCCCTTCCTACCGTATCTCAGGATATATACATGCTATTTGGCCGCCCACCGGCTCCTCACCGCTCCACGCTACCAGCCAACCGCCGCTCCTCACAGTGAAGGCGAATCACGTCCGCATCAAGCTCTACCGCTTTCTTCCCCGCTCCTCGTCTTCTTCACCTCGAAACACTTTTCGCTATGCGGGGGTGCAAAGTTCTCGTCGCCCGGCCCGAGCGCGTCCGCGTCCGTTTGTATATAAACACCCAATCGAGCCATCACAACAACACCTCGACGCGAACAACAATTTTCCACAGCGCACAACACTTTTACTGAGAGCATCAGCTATATCCCAGGTCAGAGTACGGAGTTCCCCTTGCATACCCGGGATCTTCGTGGTTTGTGTGCTAAATTGATAGAGTCAGGTCAAGGTCAAGATGGCACGCCGCAATGCGAGGGCGCGCCGCAACACTCACCATGCAGGTGATCACCCGATCCTCAACGGCAACACTGGAGCTCCAAGCACCTCAAGGCGCTCGACTGGCTACCACGGCCGTAACGGTCGCCATGCCCCAACCGTGCCACGCACTCCAGCTGGAGGTTCCAACGTTCATGGTAAACAAATCGGATCCCATGTTCTGCTGCTACTAGCTACTAACATGAGTACCGGTGCCGTCAACAACGAGACCAGGACTGAGCCGGTCAACAGCCCGTTCTCCACGCCTGTTCACCGTCGCATGATCAACTCTAGTCCAGGTCCGTCGCCCATTCCATTCAGTGGCTCGCGATTGTCTCAGGTCGTACCTGAAGCCCAACGCCGCCCTTCCCCGATGACACCATCTGGTCACGAGTCTTCCGGCTCCTTCACGACGTCGCCCACCCCGATTCGCATGGTGAACATTCCCAAGCGCAACAGTGTCGAGGAGCAATACGTTCTGCCGAGCCTAGTCAAGTCCAAGCCCACCGTCGCCAAGCGTGCCACTCCCAGGAAGCGCTCAAACAATTGGGGTAGTGATGACATCGCTGTCTTGCGCCGCGTGTCCAACCCTAGGCTCCGTGCCGTCCTCACCAGCAGCCGTCTTCCGAGGCCTCGTCAGAAGGCAGCCGGGGAGCTACCTATCCTCAGAATGAGCCGCTCCAAGGAATCCAAGCGCATGTAAAGAGCTATCCTAAGGGGAAAGAATGACGGGAGTCTCAACTGGACAAGAGCTGTGTGCTGGATCGCTGTTCGCTGGTTTTCGAGATGCGACGCGACCATTCACAGTAAGTATTTCTTCCTCAATGTCTTTCTTCAGCGTTCTGCCAGTCATTTTTCTACGCATGCGCTTTTCGTCGCTTTGTTCAGTTCTATTCTGGGAGGTGAGCGGGAGTCGGTTGTATGTGCTGGTTATGGCGATGGTGGGATATGGATCAGTTCTGTTGCTTGTGGTTTGCGCTTCTCTTCGGTCAAACGGACGCAATACGGGGATGTTGATGACGGATTATGGGTCTGGATCTGGCTTTCGTGCTTGGATCCCTTACGACTTTTACGACGGCGTTACGGATGGAGGACTGAGATGGATGATACCCTTTGCCTTTTACTGGAGGAGCACTGGTGGATTTCCTAGGTTCGGATTTGAGAGGTTCGGTCATAGGTAGGCTACTTCTTGTAGCGATCTACTTGAGCCGAGGGCTCTGAGTAGTATCAATCGAGACTTGAATCTCAAATCTTCTTCGTGGGTGTGATGTATGTGAGAGCGCCTTCCTTACATGGGCTGCCAAGGCACTAATCCACGTGTTACTTACGCAACTTCCGTCTTCCTCTTTCCTATCTCCTTCACTCATCTCAAAACATCGATACACAGTATCCCCCAAGAGATGCAAGGCCGACAGCAAGGCTCGCAGCGACGCTCCTATCACCAGGGCTGTGCCATGCACTCAATCCACGATTCGGCGGATGAACCACGCCCAACACATTCATGCCGCTCCCCCACACGTCCATCGATAGGCAATAACGCCTATCAGATGCAACAACCACTGTTATACCCGGTGTGGTGAGTCTGCCTCAAGTGCGCAGGCAGAGAGGCGAGGTCGTTACCCCGCCTGCCCTGCATGCGAAGGCCAAAGTGGTGAGTGCCATTAGCCGCTGGTTGGTAGAGTCGTGCATGCTCAATAAAGCCATCAGTTCACCGGTCAATATGCACGTTCGGAATGGTTCTGTTTACTTCTTCCCCCTTCTGTGCTGCCGAGTCGTCGCTGCGCCCTCTAAAAGACTGTGTCGTGTTTGAGCATACCGGCGTGTCCTTCAGGTTTTCAATCTCTAACTTTCTTGCTTCCAGCGAAGTTTCTCAATACAGTCTCTCTGAACTAATCTTCACTCAAATTATGGCGGAGATCTTTGGTACTATAGCAGCAGCAGTCACTCTGGGGCCAGTCATACTCAAACTCGGCCGCGAACTCCGTGACGGAGCCAGATCAGTCAAATTTGCGCGACGCGAACTCGAAGAATTGGTTAACGAGATGAGCATATTTACAGCTCTTACTTACGAATTTTACAATGCCTGCTCTACCAAAAAGAAACAGACAGAACTGGTCCTGTCAGCTCAAGAACGTTTAGCCGACTGGACTGAAGCAGCTATACAAGATTTTGAGCAATTGTCATACACTGTCGACGCACTGTCTACAGATCCTATCTACCAGCATACCGCTTATCAAGTAGCCCGCGCCCATTACGATTGGTACCGTAGCAAGAGCTATCTAGAATACCTACGCGCCTCCCTTAGCGTAGCGAGACAAAGCATGAACGGGTTTACGAATGTCTGCAATATGGAATTGCTAGACGAACAACTTGTGTACCTCAAGTCAGTACTCACAACTCAACAAAGAAAGGAGATAGAACAGGAATTTGGCATGCCGGTGGAGAAGCGCATCAAGGTCATACAAAGCATCAGGTATAGTTGAAGGCCGCATCGGAGAGCCAATGATGCTGACTCTAAACAGAGACGGACGCGAATTCCAGCAGATCGAACTACTTGAAAACCTTAGAGAAGCTTCGATTAAGGTCTCAACATTCGAAAAGCAGAACCAACGTACTAAGCCGGCTGAGCAGACCACACAAATACTGGCATTCTCGGAGTCAGTGACCCAATACGTTGATCGAATCTTACCTCTAGACAAAGATGGCAACAGGCCACCTCGTTCATCACCGCGTTCTAGGAAGGGATCAAGGTCACCCCGTCACGACTCATCGCAGACGTCTCAATCCACTGCTACTATTCGAACACAATCCACGCAGCCTTTGTACCAGGGTGCGTCAGCGGCAATATCTCCTCCAACATCTCCTGAGCCCCAGAACAGCCCGCAAGGATATGTTCCTTCGGAATGGGGGTCGCATTTGGATCTACCCATACCGGCTGAAATAATGCATCTCGAGCGGTTCAAGCCGCTCAGGCTCAAAGAGCCGCTCAAGCCCATCAATAATAGAACGAAAGGGAGAGCGGGTCCCGGTCCAGTCACACAGCAGACACGGCTAAGCAGCCAACCTCCGAAGTCTCCATCAATCCCACACTACAAGATAGATAAACGCGATACAGCAGAGCCCAGTACTCAACCTACAAAGGAAGCCAATACAAGAGCCCGTGTTGAGCCTGTTATCCAGGAAGAGTTCGTAGACGACGCAGAAGATGGAACTTCTGAAGAAGAAGGCCCACCCATGGAGCAGACTAGGAAGGCGGGACCGAGTATATGGCAGGCTACTGGTGCGTTTGGGGGAGATATGCCAAGGGGTTTGCGTATACGGCGGCAAAGGAGTCAGTCACCTTAGGGCTTTTGGTAGGAGATTTTACACCCCACGGGTGTTCGCACACATACGAGGATGTCGGTCGGGGCGAGGATTAAGTGAAGGAAGACCGAGTGAAAAGAGGCAGTTGTGGATGTAAGAACACGTGAATGTTTCAATGAAGATGTATGAGACGATGTATTCCATTCTTCATATCCAGACTATTCCGGATGATCCATTGTTGACCCTGTGACCCGTTCTTGAAGCTTCCAATGCCCGAGCAAATGAATCTACATCCATGTCCCTATTCTTCCAGCGAGACCAACTCAAACCCAAAGAGAGGGTGAGTCGAGGTCTCAAGCCGAAAGAACCGAGACATGAATACCGAGCCAGATGCCGAGCGACTGGCAGTCTACAAGAAGAGCCGCAATGCCAACGAACGAAGAAGAAGAGTACCCAAGAAGGTAAGGAAAAGAAAGAATCCAACCGCCATCCGCATACTCAAAACAGAGAAGAAAGGAACGCCGATACCCAATGCCCTTAACAATGCAAGTCCCCAATTTCCCGATATCCAAAGAAAACACCCTAATGCAACACCCAACCCTACTTTTCATCGAACAGAATACTTAAGACAATTTTCCTCTCACACAAACTTAATGCACACTCGCCCTCCACCCCTCCAGCGCATTAAAACTAACATCCCCCTCCATACTCTCCTCACCAAACCCCTCCCAAGGAAGCTCATGCGTCTCATCACCACTCTCCTCCGCCCCGTGATCCTGTTGCGCCGCACTACGCCTCAGCTCCACACTCTCATCCTCATCCTCATCGACAAAGCTGCGGATCGTAACTTTCTTCGCCTTCTTCTTTCCACCAGTAGTTACCGATTTCTCCGTGTTTCCGTCTTGCTCTTGCTCTTGTTCAGACTGTTGAACAAGGACTTCTTGGGTGAGGTCTTCGAATTCCGCTTCAGTTAACTCATCGGCTTTTTGGCCTTCGAGCACGTCGTGCAAGCGGTAGATCTGCATGTCGAGCCATTCGAGACGGCGGTGCAGGTCTTGGATCGAGGCGTTGAGGGCGTCGCGGCGGCGCTTACCCAGACTAGGGTCGTGCTGCTCGAGGAGGGCGGCTTGGACGGCGAGCTCGGCCCAGAGGTGGACGCGTTCGTCTTTTAGGCCTTTGACGACGAGGGCGAGGGCTTCGCGCGGGGATTGTGCGGGACGGAGGGTGGCATCGGGTTCGTCGGCTGTGGGGGAAGAAGCTGAGACGAGTTTGGGGACGCGGAGGGGGCCGGTGGCTGTGGTGTAGCCTTCGCGGCGGCAGACGGTGCAGTTGTCGTTGTCGTGGTCTTTGGTGATGGGTTTGCGTGAAGCGTTGGTTTGGTTTGTGGAGCTGAGCTTGATGTCGGGGAGGATGAATGCGGATGTCATTTCGGTGGGAGCGCTGCGGCGTCTGCGGCTGGTGTTGCTGAGCATAGACGCGTCAATGGCTGACTGCTTTGTTTGGGTGGCTTCAGCGTCGGCGTCTAAGTTCGACATGTTGCCAGTGTCTTCCTCGAAATTAGTGTTGGTGGTGCGCTGTGTGGTGTCCTTGAGTGACGATTTGCGCACAAGAGAGGGTCGTCGTTCGCTCTTAGCAGAAGCGACTGACCTGACGGTATCTTCCCGAGTCTGGCGCTGCGAGCGAACGGTATCCTCGCGGACTGGCTCTTCAGTCCTGGCAGATGAAGCACCATGGCGCTCGGCAGCTCGCTGTTCTTCCAGAGATCGTCGAAGCCTAGCAATCTCTTCCTGAGGGAAGAAGCTCAACTCTGTCAGACTCAGGTCGGCAGGAGGCTGAACGGTCGTGGTCTGTCTCGTAGAAGTGGGGTTCCGTGAGATGCGAAGAGTTGCGCGAGGTGCAAGAGACAGATCGGTTGTCGACTCCACATCACTCTCGGCGCGAGCGTGCTTGTCCGCGGGAACAGGTGCTGACACACTGCGGGTTGAGAATCGCGAATGTCCGGTAAACGACTTCCGCGGGCTCTCTTGGTTTGGTACTCCAGCGACCTTGCTGTTGCGGACTTCTTGCTGAACACGGTTCCTGATGCGTGTGCGTGTGTCCTCGCGGCGGTAGCTAGGCTTGCGTTGTAGAGTGTCTTCGAAGATGTGCTCCGTATCCCTAGTTCTCGAAACAGGGCCGGTGGTATCGTCGAAGTGCTGTTCGCTGTCCCTAGCCTTGCGAGCATTCTCACGCTGGCGAATCTTTCGCTGCAACTCCGCCTCTTTCCTGGCCCACTCCTCATTTTCCTCATCTTGCTGGGCTTGCAGTTCGCGAAGCTCATTTCGGAGGTTCTCATTGTCCAAACGCATGGCTTCGTTGGTACGTTCTTGTGTCATATCCTCGAAGTGTCGGATGGTGTCGTCACGTCGGCCAACCTGAGCTCGCAACGAAGCTTCCTGACGAGACCAGCGCTGAGCCTCCTCTTCGCGCTTTGCCTTGAATTCTGCCAATTGAGCCTTGAGCGACTCGTGGTCGGACTTCAAACGGGCATACTCAGCATGCTCTTGACGCGCCTTTCGCAGTTCCATATCCCTACGAGTCAACTGCTGGGTGTTCTCGTCCTGTTGAGCGCGTACGCGAGCCAACTCGGCATGTAGGTTGGCGTTCTCCCTCTGGGTCGCATTCGCGGCTTGGTCGAACTGCTGACGGAGCTGAGTTGTCTCTTCGCGGTGGTGTGACTGGTCTTGCTCGAGTTGTTCGCGAAGGTTGTCAATCTCCTGGCGGAGCTGCTCGTTCTCGTGGCTCAATGCGTTCTTCTCGGTCTTAAGTTCTTCGCAGGTCTGGAATGCGACCCCAAGCTGGTTCGCCATGTTGTCGCGCTCGGTGCTTAGGCGTTTCTTCTCAATTTCGAGTACGGCGAATTTGCGGTCGGCGCGATCAAGCTTGGTTCGGAGGGTCTGTACTGTCGCGTCAAGACCTAGCCATTGTCAGTAAAGTCATACATGTTCCATCTTCTGTAGCAACTTACGCGTCTTCTCGACCTTCCAGCCGCTCTTTCCGCCAGCATCAGAGTCCTGCGCGCTGTCGCTTCGTCGCAACTTCTCTTGAGCTTGTGTAGTCGCTCTCAGCTCGATCAGCTCCAGTTCCTGCTCATCCATCTTCTTGTCCTTCTCCTCACGCTCACGCTCCATGTCTGCAATCTTCTCCTGTAGTTGCTGGAGGGCAGCGAAGATGGCCTTCTCTTCATCAGGAATGGGCGCGCCGTCGATGGGAATATGCGATGGTCGGCGACCACCGTATGGAGGAGCAGCGAAGCGTGATCTTGAGGGTGCGGTCTTGGAAAAGACTGGTGTGCCATCGTCGAAGACGCCAGAGACAAGCTCGGTAAGGTTGGGGATGTCGGGCAGAATAAACGACTGCGCAGTCGCGTTCTGTGCTGTGGCCGGTCTGGAGCGAGATGTGCCTTTTGATTGCGGCGGGTCGACGTTGCCGTCAGTTTGGAGGGAGGTCTGTCGGCTCCTGTTGCCCCAGCGCGTGTTCTTGGCCGACTCCATGGTCAGTGTTGGTGGTCGGTGCTCCATAAACGATGACTCGTCCTCCGATAGCTTCGCGTGCAGCTGTGCGAGAGAAGTACGCTTGCGGTCTTCCTTGGTAGAGAGGGCGGGGGAGTTGCGCTTGCTTGCAGGACGCGGCGATGCAGTATCAAGGTCGTTGCGTGAGGCGCGTCGGATTGCCGCGTCGCGTCGAAGGCTACCAGTCTCTGCCTGGTATGACTTGCGCGACCGGTTGGTGGGGGGTGTGATGTCGTAAAGGCTGTTAAACTGAGAGCTCATCTTGCTGGGAGTACCGCGGTTGCTGCGGTTACCTCGTGCCTGTTCTACGGCCATGCTTTCCTCGTCTGATATGCTGTGGTCAAAGTCGCCGAACTCCTTGTTTACCATGGATGTATCCGGCTGGACCTGCTGGGAGCGGAACGGTGCCCAAGTGTTCATCTTCTTGGCTGTTGACCGAATGTGCGGGTATGCTGGGAGTGTGTTGGTATCTTCGCCAATGTTGTGCTGTGTGGACATGAGAATGTCCGGGTCGTCAAAGAACTGAGACGTGTTGGTGCCGAAGCCCGAGCGCTGCGTGGGATTCGAGTCGCTTGGTGGTGGTGATGGCGAGGTGATATTCCTGGGGCTGTGGCTGAGGCTGCGTGATAGTTCTCGAATAGCGCGCGCTTTCCCGTCACTTGTAGGAGGAGACGACTGCATGTCGAAATTGCGAGGCTGCGGCGGGCAGCTTGTGGTGGGTCGCGTCGCGTGGTAAACACGTGAATAGGGTATGAGAAAGATACTTCGTAAAGACTACTGAAGTTATATCATTACCTCCAAGAATAGTTCCAGCCCAAGTATGATGGGGTGTCTTGGGGCGCGTTGTAGTGGAAAGTGCGATGAGTGTTGAAGACGAAGCGGGTCAGCGTGTTTACTCCAAAACAAAGCTAACGAACCCAGGCCCCACCCAGCCACCGACGCCCGTCATAACGTGCGCGGCGCGTCGAACAACTCGAATTGAAAGGCACTGCACCCAACTGCGACGTTCAGAAGTATTATTATGATGGTTTTGTTGCTTCGTGTTAATGCTATAGAGGTATCATAAATCAGATCTGTCACAACCATACTCCGCTCCCAAACATCCGTTACATGCCATCCCAAGCAACACTTCGACCTGCGCAAAGTCGATTCCATCTCCACAGAACACCCACAACCACCATGTGTGCCAGGAGAAGTATTACTGAGCGTCCTAACCCACCCACATCGACTGGCCTTCCCCTGATAGATATGCCGGCATGCAAGAAGTCGAGTGATGCTATGCACAACAACGGGTACAGGACGCGCGGATCCGCCGCAAAGGGCTGGCAGGGCGAGAGCAAACTATACGCCTTTGCGCAGAACAGCAAAGTCTTGGTAGTGCTAATGGCAGCGGGATTCCTTGACAGTCTGTACAGTCTTGATGATGCACTCGCAGGTGGCGGTGGAGGGAGCATGAGACGCTGTGGTGATGGCGTTCTCCCTCCAGAAGGGGGCGGCGGAAACTCCAATTTCCTCCTTAGGATCACCGCCCCATCCTCAGATGACTGCCTCCTCATCGGCTGCGGACGTGGCGGACTAGGCGAGCGGTCCATGACAGTTGCGCTGAGATGCGATCGACCTGGCCGTGTGTAGTTGATCGAAGCACGCTTTTTGTTACCTTGGTTAGGTGAAGGGCTGGGCGTGTCGGCTCGCGATATGCGAGGACTAAACTCGTCTAGACCCGATGGGCCTGCATATGCATTGTACTCGTCGAATACCAGTGGTGATTTCAGGACATTCAGGATTTCCTCTGCACCTGGGCGTTCATCGGGGTTGATGGCGAGGAGCGTCTTCAGCGATCTGTATAGCTTTTCAGGCAAGTCTGAGCGAACCCGCTGTTCGTCGTCGATACCAGCCCAAGTCGAGATCTCAGCCCTCAACTGATCTAGGTCCTCGTTGTCCTCATCGATACCATCCGCGTTCCGGTATGGCAGTCGTGCAAAACACATGAAGTAGACGATCATACCGAGCGAAAAGATGTCAGACTTGGTTGTGAAGTTGCCAAAAGCACCTCCAGGTCGCTCTTGACGAAGCACTTCGGGGGCGCAGTATGAGATGGTTCCAGTTGCTCCTGTCGAATTCCTCGCTGTGTTCGCGGACTGCACTTCGCCGAAATCGCTGACTAGAACTTTGATCTTGCGGCCAGTACGATGGAGCAAGCAGTTGCTAGGCTTCAGGTCTCGATGTATGTAGCCGTTGGCATGAAGGTGACTTAAGCCGGACGTGATGTCCTTGAAGAAGGATATGATCTCTTCAAAGTGCATGCGACGCGGTCCATGCACGTCCTCTGGATCTTCCAGCTGGCCCTTGGACCTCCTCCTGAGTCGCTCCTTCATCTGCTCCTTGGTTACAGATGTCTTCATAGAGTCTAGAATATAGTCGTGGAGATCGCCAGCGTTGCAGTACTGTTGCAGTATGAACGCGCACGGTACGCTTGGGCCAAAGCTAGATATCTGGTAGTCCTCCAGCCATACATGCCGGTATGATACCAGATTCTCGTGCGACAGGGTCTGCAGTAGTTGCACTTCGATCAAGACCTTCTCCAGCCATTCGTGATCGTCGCCGACTGGCACGCGCTTGCATGCGAACTTGCCCAGGTGCACGCCGTCGAGGATATGCTGCACCAGCAAGACCACACCCTTGCCTCCTCTGCCCAGCTCGCGCTCTTCTATGAAGAAGTCCTTGAAGTAGTTGGGACTGAAGGCTCTGGCAGATATACCCTGGCTTCGAGCGGGCTGGATCGGTGTGCTTCCCACAAACTCAGAACCCTCAGGCGGCTCGAAGCTACCCATGCGCAAAGGGGCAGGCGCTAGTTGTTTATGTGGTGATGAGGGTCGCGATCCCTCTGTTGATCCTGGCTGACTCCGGCGCAGCATTTGGAAGTATGCGGGATTGACGAAGCCATTTTCGGTGGGTATGCCAGGCGCAGTATGTTCCTCCGCGTCGCTGTCGTGTTCGTCATGGGGTGATGGTTCGCGGTAGGATCGGTGACAGTACGGACATGACGTAGAGCCGATATCAGTCGCGTGGGAGGCATCGCGGAGGGAGAGTTGTTTTGAGCGCTGGTCGTACACGACAACAGCAGAACCATGACGCCTGTGATGTTCGTTAGCACCATGTCATTGTTGTCGCATGGTATATCCTCATAGGAACCTACAGCACAATCTCCCGCGACTCAGCTGGGGCGTAGGGAATCAGCGACATGTTTTGGTGCGACTTGCGCCCGTCGGCCCTGTCGTAGGGGTGTCGGCTTGGGAAGGGCGCGCAACGTCTTTGACAGCGGTCTACAGCGTGTCGCCCACGTAAACAATCGAGCTGACGTAACTGCCTTCAATATGGAAAATGTGAATGTGATATGTGCGGTCGTACCACCTCGTGCGGTGCGGGGAAGCTACAAAGGCCGGTATAGGCAGGGACCTTAGTCGATAGCCCACAGCGGATAGCAGAAGGGGTAGCGAAAGGCCTCGCGACTGTCTTGTAGAAGTGGCATGACCGTGTTCCTCAGGTAGCGCTGACTGTTGTCATGGTGTCGTGTGTTGTTTGGACGGCGCGCAGGTTTTGGTGGGGAGAGTGGAACGGCAAGGGCGTCCCAGCTGGCAAGGGTCTGTCACCGTCTCATAGCAAGTGCATACCAACAATGACTGGCCAGACTCATCATTATTTTCAGGTGCTCTACCTAGGCAGTCCCCAGGCTATCAGTAAACCGGATCCATGCACAGTTTCATCCCCCTCCCGCCTCATACAAGAAAAACCTGAACAGGTCTGCAGACTACATCAAGACAAAAACTTGCAAAGTAGGTGACCCAACGTCAACGTAGACTCCAGGCTGTTCAGGGTTTTCCTAAGTTGGCGTGCTCTTGTCTCCTACAAGTGGCTCTTGACCAACATACCACCCTCCCAGACCTCGCCCTTCTCCAGCCTCTGCCAGCCGTCCACGGCACCGATCTCGACGCAGACCATGTTCTTGTAGCCGTCGTCTGGTGAGAAGTCGCCCATGGCCTTTGCCTTCTCGATCCACGGGTTCCACGTCACGGTGTCCTTGACGTTGTCGCGGATGACGTCAAAGCGAGGCTTGCCGTCTTCGGTGATCGATGTGGTGTCCTGCTTGATGTCCTTGTAGACGCGATCTGTCTCGCCGGTGATCTTGAGCTGGTTGTCGCTCTGGGTGTGGGTAGAGGCGTTGAGGACCTTGTCGACGTACTCGGTGCCAGACAGGCCGGTGATGGCGATCTTGGACACGTCCTGAATCCTGAAGTAGGTGTGGAGCAGGAACTGGAACTCGAAGCTCTCCTCGCCCTCGTTGCGGACAGTGAGAACGGCCTGTAGGCTGTCCTTGCTCAGTGTGACGCTGTATACGAGGCCGAAGTCCAGCGGCCACGCCTTGCGCGACTCTTCGCTGAGCGACTGGCGGTCGAGGCCAAAGTCGAGCTTGACCGAGTTGGAGTCGAGAGCATCCTCCGCAGTCGACTTGCCCATGTACTCCCAGCGCGATCCACGCGCGAAACCGTGTTGTGGAAGCGACGAAGTGGCGTGTCCCTCCTTGGGAGGAGGACCGAAGACGGGGAATACGACGGGGATACCACCGCGTACAGGCTTCTTGCCAGTCAGATCGGCCGCATCGCTCAACCAGAGGTTCTCAGTCTTTCCGCCGCTGCTCTTCCAGCTAGTAACTGTGGCTCCAAAGAGCAGCACCTCGACGCTCTCACCGGACGGCAGTCTCGCGACGACCTTCTGGCTGCCGCCCTCTCCGACAATGTCGACCTGGGGGCCGGGTGCGGACGCGGTAGGCGCGTTCAGCGCTGATGGGCGGTTCGCACGGTCGACCATGATGACGATGTGTTGTTGCTGTAGCTCGAGGTGATGGTGGGGTATCTATTGTATAACTCGAAGCGGCTTGTTTGCGGGTTTGATTGATTGCTCGGACTGCAATTGGGAATTAGATGGTGGAATGGCAGGAAATCAATTGGGGACAGCTCACACTAATGACAACAGGCGGTATGGAGCTACTTGTTCTAGAAGGGAGGTACTCGCAACGAGAGCCCTGGGGTGAGGGGCAACAGCTCATTGCCCCACCAACACCTCCTGCCAGCATCCACGCATCACCCACCAGCACTGAAACACATAGCTTGTTTCATCTCGACTCTCTTACAGCCCGCTTAGCTGCTCCGTCTGAACATTATTGGGTCTTCCGCCCTCTCGGTGCATATACTTCCATGCCGGCGATGCAGATCCAACAGAAAGGTGCATCTTCGCCTGCATATCTGGCGAACAACGGCCCGCGGTGCTCGGTTTGCCGGTAAAAGCTGGTGAACATTATGGCCTTGCTCCTTCACCTGTACATCCGAATATAGCCTGAAGACATCTAAGTTCTCACCTGACGGCAAGAAAAGACTGCCCAGTCCCAACATGTACCCCGTTTCAGGTGAACTTGTAGTGTCCAAGGTTCCTTTTAGGCTCATTCCGGTCGATCATGAGATGGATATACGATACTCCGCTTGGCTCATTGGCAGCGGCGTCAAGCTGTATCGACGGTATGACAAGTATTCGGGATTCTCCTGTCGTTCGTGTCGATACCGTCACAACAAGTCAGCGTATCCTTGATACGTCTGAACTCAATGTTCATTTGATTGACTTCATCAAATCAAAGGCAAAAAACTACCTTGTGTTACCTATGGCCGGCAGAGGTTCAGGGTAGCTCAACAGTCATCATGCACGGGACCGCCATTAGTGATGTGCAGCCAAAAGAACGAAAGCTCCCCGTTTTCTGATCTGCTGAACCCGGACTTTTTCTATAACTACAAAAATAGTCGTCAATGAGCTACCAGCTCTACAAGGTTGGCGTCGGCCCGAGTAGCGTGCCATGGCTGCTGGGCCTAATTGGTGCGCCCAGCGGCTTCCCCCACTTCAACACCACAGCTAAGCCACCGCTAACGACCCGTAGAGTCTAGACAGAGCTGAAAACGCGTGGCTGACGGATCGCCCGCTGTCGTGCTATATGAGATGATGCCCCGCTTCCCTAGCTCAAAATGCTGCACATCTCTGATCCCCCCGGCATAGACCCGCTAAGGTTGGGACTGATCTAGTGCGAACGATACATTTACGAGACTGTTTGAAAGAGAAGAACAGGAGTTGGAAATGCCTTCCAAGGGTGTAAGATGTTTCACCTACATCGCGGTGGATGGAGTCGAGGTTGAGTACACGGTACCAAGGGGCAATGTCAAAAGAGGCGACCAACACCAGTTCCTCCACGATCATCTCGAAGTAGAGTCATCCAACTTGCCCCATTTCAAGTTCACCGGCAACTTCGAATTCATCGTTCGCCAGGATGGCCGCGAGCTCACAAAACAATGGGTTGCAATCAACAGCATGACAGGCAAGTTAGAAGACGGATCAATGGTCAACATGGAACAAACACCCAGCATCTTCGCCAATGACCTTGTCATTTCTTACGGATTCTACGACGCCGGACCAGGTCTCGCCGAGCTACCAAAGCAACACCAATGCTACGTGACCGTCACAAAGAACTACGAGAACTGGATGCGCGACATCATACCCCAAGGCTCAGACAAGTCCAACCGCCCCTTCCACAAAATGGTCCTCCCCTCCGCCCACGACATCGGTATGAACAACATGTCGAGCAGTCTCTCCCTCCTCAAAAACGCCGGCACAGGCATCATCAAAGAAGTCCTCGGCCGCAGTCTTCCCCACGCCCTCACCATCATCAACAAAGTCGGCGACGGCGCCATAAACCGGATCGCACCAGACATCATCCGCGCACTAGCCATAACCCAGAAAGACACGCTCGACACTATCCTCAAGATCGGGGCGCGCTACTTCGAGTTCCGCCCCGCGAAATGCCACCGTCAGATGCAAAAAGTCAGTCCCTTGGATGATACCTGGTATTTCCAACATGGCGCCATACCAGGGATGCCGTATCGCGTGCTACTCGATCACATCACGCGGTTTCTAGTCGACCATAAAGACGAAATCATTGTTGTGCACAACCGATGGGATGGCGTGCCAGGCGACTGTCCCCGGCCTAACGACGACGAACTACGAGATGCGCTCAACGATATCCTGCGCGATAAAGATCTTAAAGCGGGGAACCAGGACGACATGATGCACAAAACCATCCACGACCTCCGCGAGTCAAATACCCGCCTTATCATCCTGAAAGACTGCGGCCAAGCTTCAAACTACGACGACGCTGCAAATGCTACTCTGACTGGTGACTCCATGGTCGAGAAACTGTCTTCCATGTGTGAAGATCCGCCTAGAGGCCACCCTATTACGTTATTGCAGTGCCAGGCCACGGCAACGAACATTAGGGATGTGATTATTGCTAGTGTGCTTGATTCGGATGTTAGTACCAGTCCGATATTAGCCACGAAACCGGTGTGTGATCATAAGATCTTACCGTTGTTGAAGGGGGATGTGGGGAGGAAGTTGATGAGGGAGGAGGGGGTGGTGGTGATTCTTAATGATTTCTTTGATGGGGCGACGGCGGATGTGGCGGTGGGGTTGTGTAGGGAGAGGTTGGGGTAGATGGTGTGGAAAAGACAGGCAGCGAGTGGGAGATGATGTGGAAGGAAGATCGATACATGTATTACATTATTACGTGGTAAACTACGAGACAACATCTGCGTCACACTATACCATCAAGCACATCTCCATGACCTAAGCACCCCCATGTTCCCCCGGCGTAAAATCCGTCGTCCCCAAATCCCTATTCCCCCGCACAACGAAATCATGATCCTTCGTCAACCCATCCAAAAACCCATCCCCCACATTCAAATGATCCTTAACAATCTGCCTCGGCGTAATCCCCAACCACTGATTAACACTAATATCACTATACTGACTACTCTGCAACACCTCCAGATAAACCAGCGTCTCGTTCCCTGTATTCTCAAGATAATGCGCATTAGGCACAGGCACGTACCCGACATCCCCAGCCGTAAAGTCGAACGTGCGAGATGCGGCGGGTGCTTCGTAGACTGTTAAGCGAGCGGAGCCGGCGATGAAGTAGGACCATTCGTCTGAGGTGGTGTGCCAGTGGAGTTCGCGCATGGCGCCGGGTTCGACGGTGATGAGAGCCGCGGAGAAGGTGGATGCGATGGGGAAGGTGGAGGGATCGAGGATCTTGATGGTGCCGCCGGGGACGCGGGCGGGTTCTTGCTGGCTCCAGTGGTAGGAGTATGCGCCTTCTTTTGGTATCACGCCCGCTGGGCCCGTTACATTTTGCTCTGAGATATCCTTTGGCGCGGGTGTACCGGGGAAGATCCAAAGTTGTTCTTGAGGCATGTTCTGCACTGTTTTGACGGATGTGCGAAAGTTCTTGGCTACCACGGACTCCGGGTTCCGCAACATGAGTTCGGAGAGGAGGAAGGTGTTTTCTTCACTAAAGGAACCATCGTTGAAGATGAGAAGGAATTCGCAGCCGTTTTCGAAGGCTTGGATGGAATGAGGGATTCCTGGGGGGAAGAACCAGACGTCGCCTTCTTGGACGTCGTCGACGAAGGTTTGGCCCGCTTCGTTCATGGAGGCGATACGCACGCTACCGTTTAACCTGGGGATATTTGGTTAGCTTTGTTGGGTGAGCGGCGAGTGGGAGGGATATACATGTATGCCCATTCTCCTTGCTTGTGCCAGTGGAGCTCGCGGTAGGCATGGGGACTTAGCCGCATGTTTGTCCCCGCCATGGCGACGGAAGATGGTAGTTGATCGGTGTTTTGCGATCGTGCCCATCCTGCGCCTGCGAGACCGTGGCGATTGTGGCTGAGACCGAATGGCCATTTCGCATTGCTTACTTCGCCCATATCGGAGCCGGGTGGGGCGTAAATGTCGCTATTCAGACGATCATACGCTGGAGTACTGCAGTGAGGTATCAGCCAAGACACAGACTTTGGACATGACCATGAACTTACCGTGGACCAGGTTCAGTCGGTCCTGTATTACCTCCACGGATCGGCTGTGGGTTCTTCACATTCGCGAGATCGATATACAATCCCAAATCTTCATCTTCTGACTGCCCTGGTGCGAGCTCAAAGTCCTCAGGTGGGATAACTGTAGACGTCATGTCGACTGGGTTTGAAGGGTTGTACCCTTGTAAGTCATCGGAACCGCGCAACGAGCCTGATGCCGAGGGAGGTAGTGGCATGTTCAGGACTTGCGAGGGATCGACAGGGCCTGGCACGGATGAGCCACCAGAAACTCCTGACGCCTGAGGTGCTGGTGCAGGTAGGCCATTGGCAAGACCTGCCAGGGAGTAGAGGAACGCGGCGGATGAGGAATAGAGCATTTTGGAAAGGAATTGCTCGTTGCACTGCTAACTCACCGTGCAACTGCAGAGTAGATGGACGGCTTACCCACCTTTTTATACACAACCGGGCGACAGTAATATCGTCCCACCCCAATGCCTTCACCACTAACTCCACCAGGCATACGTCACCCGAAGCGACATCATGACTATTGAGAGTAGTAAAGTGACGGGTACGCAGCCCTGGCGTGCATGCGGCGATGAACGGTAACGTGCATGGGATGTTCGATCAAGCTTGCCCATTCTGGCTATATTGTCTTGTCTATAGCTGGGGTTGTGGCTTTTCCGGGGGATGTCCACCAACTGCCGAAGGCCTAGTGGTTCGAGGTTGACTGAAGATTGGCTGCGGAGCATGAGGCTGACCACGAGTTCGCGACAGGGGTCTGATTTGCTCGGATCTTGAATTACTCCCATCTTGTTGATCGTGACGATGGTGACCGCGTAATGCTCTCAGTCTTGCATCATTGTCTTTCTTCGGAGACAGACTCGGTACCTACCTAGGCATTGTGGTTTCTGGGTTTGAAACAAATCGAAGTGAGCGCTTTCTTTGCTCTTCGAACTTGAATCTTTGAGCAATGGTAACTTTGCAGCCACCGGCGAGCTTCTGAGCTGACTGCGTTAGCTTACTCACAGTTCATCCTCAGTAGTCTGATTTGTTATTCCCGAAGCGCTCTTATGCACACCGCGCGTTTTCGGTGTAGTACCGGAACGAGCCGGGACCAGAGTCCATCGCGGGAGGCAACAAGAACTGTGCTGAGACCTCAATATTGACCAACAGTATAGCTGAAGATGGAGGCAGGTGCGGCAGTAGGACTTGACTCTGCATTTCCCAACACAGGGCGGCTGCGCATATCTGATGGACCCCATTACAGAGAGGGCGCGAAAGCAGACGAATGATGAATGGATACCGGCAATCACACCCGTACTGTGTGGAGACGAGATGGCGTGTCAAGCTTTGCGGAGAAGGCTTGATTTGTGGCTACGGGTAAGCAGCAGAATCACGCTACGTCATCACGTGGCTCATTTCGGCTAGCGCGGCGCTCAGCTCTCGTCCCAAACCTCAGTCACGACAACTCTGTCTTCACTCCGGTCCGCATGCAAATGCACTCACAACAGCAAAACAAGGAGAGAAGAAAGCCACGACTCCCTCAGCAATACTAAATCTCGTATTGGATTGCCTAGCATGTCCGAGACTTCGCGATTTCCAGCCAACGCGTCGGGATCGCGTCGTCCATCATGCTGTCACACCTCCAATCCCTTCCATCTCACCAGACGCTCGCATGTATAGCGGCATATGACATGTCTTGTGATGCCGAATCTTGCTCGAAGCAGAGCTTAGCCCTTCTCCGAACCTCCAGCTGTGGATCCTGCGCGTCGCACGCTCAGCGCCGAAAGCGCGAACACGCCAGCACCTCTACCTTTCGGCCAGGCCTCCCGCAGTCTTCATCAAACATACGCTGTATAACGAAAGGGCATTTGCTTGGGTCGGTGCTAGCGGATACTCTTCATTCCCTTCGAGGGCGATGTATGGAGTCAGCCTTGCTGACAGGTAGATGCAGTAAATCCATCAACCGGTTCTCCGCATCATTTCTCGGCCGGGTCAGAGCGATACCATCCCGAACAGTGACCTGCTGTTCGCGATTTTGTTCACGGCTCATCTCGGGGTTCGATGAGCGTACCCAGACGCGTCCCTGGATGGGGACAGGACCGGGTGCATTGTGTTGCATCAAGTTACAGGGCATGCCTGATTCTTGATCACGAAGTTCATCCTCAACTGCCGAATAGTCGGCGAGAATGCCAGGCGGAACTTGGATGCTGGATTTAACAACACCTCCAAAGGCCTTCTTCTCTAAGAATGCCCTGAGAAATTTTGAAGAAGGTGCATTGCGATTCTTCTTCTTTTCCAGGAACGCCTTAAGGAAATTTGGAGAAGGCGCATTAGCCACCGCGTCAGCCGGATCGGTTTCCTCATCATCGCGAACCTTCAGGATATGCTCCATGAGTCCGCCTGACGTGCGAGCTGTAGAGTTCAATACAGAAGCGCTGTGATTGACAAGCGGAGGAGCCGCGGGAATCTTGCCGGGTGCACAATTGAAACCAGCATTTAGGCCAACGGGACCAGTGATGCTATCTAGCTGAACACCCGAATCGCTGCGTTTCCGCTGCAGCGCAGCCATGGTAGGAACACGGCGCCCCGCAAGTAGTGGGCGTGCAAACTCTTCTGGCTCTTCGTGCGCTTCGCAGCCCGGTTCGCGGCTGTCTTGGTACTCCACGAGCGCATCGTAGGGCTCGCGACACTCCTCGTCGAAGTCGTCGTGTTGGACGATGTTGGTAACTGAGACACGCCACACCCGAATCCAGCGTTCAGACTTTGCCTTCCAATCCACTGGGCTGTCATGAAGCTCGTTGTAGATTCGATATTCTTGAGGAACCTCCACGGGTTTAGCACGCGATGCTGGGTATTCTGGCGAATTGCGATTCAGAGTGGCATCGTCTTCCTCGGTCAAAAAGTATGCAGCTCGGTTGGGGCGTCGTCGTGAACGAATATGTTTCATGTGATACCGGACAATAGCTTCAGTGCCGCGGATGCCCATCTTCTGCTCCCACCACAGTTGCTTCGCCTTCATGTACTCTGGGTTGTCGCCAAAGTCATCTTCGGGATCGAGCAGCCCCTGTTCGCGTAGTGCCTCGGTGTCACACTCCTCTTGATGGTATAAGTTGTTCCAGAGTCCAGCGATCATGCTCTCTTCGAGACCTTTTCGATCTCCAAGGATACTGCCGGCCGCATACTCGTGTGAATCATTTGCGACTAATCGATCGTACTTCTCGGGTTCAGCGCGTAGCTTCTCCAGTCTATCCAGGATGCCTTGGACGAATCCATCGTTTTCGCCTGGAAGATCGTAAAGATGGTCCCACTCTGCTGTTGGTACGTCGTCTAGTGGTAATCCTCCCTCAAAACAAGGCCGGTCGCAGTCAGGGATTGGTGTAGCTCGGCGAATCTGCTCATCGTCGTTCTGATATTCTGCGAGCGCGCGGGCTGCTTCAAAGCCTTTTTGACAAGATGAAAATACTATTGGATCGGCTGGCATATCCTTGCGAACTTTCATCGTCTCGTACGTGGTCGTGCGTTGGGTACCGGAGCGACTTAGCCCGATAACCACAAGTTCTTCTCCAAGAGGCAACGGAATCTCGTCAAAGTCTTCATTCCACACTGCTGGAAACTGCCGAGGATGCTCAAAACAACCAATGTTCAGGCGAGGCTCTTCTTCATCCACAATAGCTGCGTCCTTCTTGAGGAGAAGCAAATGTGGCATGTGCTTGGACACATCGCATGCTAGGTCCAAGACGTTCTGTAGAACCTCGTCGCCGACTTTGTTACCCTGGAAAGCTGGATATCCTGTCTGGTGTTTCGCATATGCATCATACAGCTTTGCCATGATCATCTTGCTGCCATCTGGCATCTCTGCACGGAAGTAAGAGTGAATGTATGGGAGATCAGCGAGCGCTTCGCATTCGCCGCCCATCTCCAAGAGAATCCTTTGGATATGCTTGTAGTCTTTGAGCTCACCCTCGTAGTCGAAATTGGAGCTCAGAGAGGACGAAGCCATGTGGTTCAGCAAGCCAAAGCCATCGTCGCCTGCTTTTGGATGAGTGACCAACTCCTCGACTCCGCGGAACTTAGGACCGAGCGACTTAATATAAGCAGGACACTCGCAGTCTTCGTCATCGTCGTCTTCAATCATCTCAACATGGAGCTTCGAAGTCGCGGAGGTACGCAGTACGCTTCCGACGTTTGGAGATGTTGAGGGCGTATCCGCGGCAGACGACGATGATGTGACCATTATAATGGGCGGGAAGAGCTTGTTGAGTGACTGCATGATTTGACTGCAGTGATTTAGCATTTGGTCTGCACTGAACGCATCAGATGAAACTAACCTGGCAATGCCTGATATCCTGGCGATCTGCACAATGGGGTCTTCTTTTGTCGCAGCCGGTGTAAAGGTAGGCAGACGGTTGAGAAATCTGTGGGTGCACTTCGCCTGGGCCAGCGCTTGCGGCGATAGTATAAGGGGGCGGTTGAGACTGATGCCGGCGGAGCGGATAGCCCACCGACGCGGCTGAGGCCCTTTTGGTGTGAAGGCAGTAAGTTTCAGGCGAGTGTACTTGGTGCTGTGAGTCGATGTGGGTTGAAATAAAGGGTGTGGTGTAGTGGTAATGAGGTAAACTCTGCAGCTCGAGCGTGGACATATATACCGAGCGAGAGTTGAGTCGCAAAGGCGCAACCAGGAGCCACGCTAGGGCCAGCTCCGGGAGCAGCACAGACTATGGTGAATGAACAACTCGGGGCATCCAGATTGGTACTGCTGTTGGCGGAGGTCCAACATTATCGTGCGGTGAATTTGAATTTCCAGATGGCCCAGACATAGTTGCGAAGTGAAACGCAATGTTCACAACGATGGCGCATTATTGGGCATATAAATAAATTGAAGCTGATAACACTGATGACTTGTAAGTCGGATATAGGCATTATATGGTCAACATAAGCAAACAAGGATGGCCTTCTTAGGACACCAAACCGGGTATCAAACGCTAAACAAATCAACATGAATGAGTACATTCAAAATCCTCTACGATCTCGGTCAAAACAGCGAGTAAAGAAAGGAAAGAGCGAGAACAGTACTTAGGTACAAACTTGCTCTCAAGAGGTATAACAAGCTCGAACGGCTCATTGCCAGTTTGCGCGCTGCATCGCAGCCTCGAAATCTGAGTTGATAGGGAAGTCGGGATCCTGCTGCCGAACTGGAGGTCTGGGGTCAGTTGGAGATCTAGCATTTACATGAAAAAGGGCATACCGGGTGGGTGAAGAGTAGCGCGCGCAGTGCCAGCGATCAAGGATTTTGCCCGCCTAGACTGCACATTCTGTGCCAAGTCGTGGCCCTGGTGTTGCTCTTGAGCAAAGTCTACCGTCGGATGATATGCGGTATCGAGCTGCTCCCACATGCCGTGCGGCGCAGCCAGAGCATTGCAATGCTGTAGACACTCCTGGCATCGAGTAACAATGTGGCCATGCGGAAAGCACTGTGTACAGCCGATCTGACTCGCGTTCATCATCCTGCTCGCCATCGTCTGAGGCGTGAACTCAAACTGATGCAAGCGACCGTGCTCACACCGAGGGGGAAGCAGACGGTAAGGAATCTCCGAGAAACCGATGGTAGTCTGGAAACCAGGAGGGTAGAACGAGGATGTAATGCCTGGCGCCGGAAGTAAACCACCAGGATGGCTGATGCGCTCGTTAATGTCCTCGGCTGATGTGTCGACTAGAACAAAGATGTTCTCGGTGGTCGTCTTATGCAGCTCACAGTTCTGTACGATCTCCTGGGAACGAGGCGGTGTCGCATGCTCGGAATACTGAGGAAGCAAGACTAGGTCGGCCATGGCGTCATGGAGCTCGCTACCGTCGAGGACTTCGATCGGAAAGAACGATTCGAAGCCTTTCATCTCCTTGTAGTTGTGCTTCTTTTCGTCGTGGTAGCTATCGAGCGTTGACATCGCGACCTGTCCGCATGGACACTCGTGGAAAGCATTTGGATCAAGTAGGTCGCCTTGGTCAATGTCTTCCATCCAGTCGGGAATTCGCTCGTAGCTTTCGAGCAAGGCGTGCTCTGGCTTGCCCCTTGTAAGTTCACGAACGAAGGAGGGTTCGAAATCGATGTTCCAGTTACGCGTGTTGTAGTCTGCGATGCCTTCGTTGATCGCCATCTCTTCTTGTTGAAGGAGATACGGTCGGCAAGGGTGATCTAGTCCCACATAATGGCGTACATCAAAGTGACATGCAGGGGTGAATTTCCTCCGATTCCCTTCGATGATGTTCTTGATGTCTTGCAACGTCTTAATGGGTGAACCGGGCGCGACGATAGTACCGGGACAGATGAGAAGCCATTGCATTTCGAGCTCCTGGAGGAGGACGTTCTTGCCATTCTGTGATCGCGTCTTGATAAGGGTATCCAAAGTCTGGGCTCCAATCGCTGCTTTCAGGTCTTCCGGAAGATGTGGTTCCAAAACGTGGAGAAGGAAGGCGATGTCCTGCGCGTCTGCTTGGGTCGGGCGTCCAAACCATGCGTCGACATCCTCGTACGACTGACCATCGCTACCAATGAAGATTGGCTCGAGGTGATTGGCCATGCGTTGGTTGTAAATTCGACCACCCGGGGCCCACTGATCAGTGTCGTTGAAGACAAGCTTGCCATGCTGACGCTGAAGCGCTGCTATCTGGTTACTGCTGGAGCAAGCAGCTTCGGCAGCGTTTTCGTCTCCGACGATTTCGCACTGGGGTTCGGTAGTATGGGATATCCCCGTAGGATCTTGAGCACTTGGTGCGATAGCGGTAACGAGAGGCAGATTCTCTTCGTTTCCAAGAGACGACATCCACTGGTCGCTGCCTGCAGACATATCCCGAAAGCTGGCTAACCACTGTGGCACTTTCGACTCTTCATGAGCGGTCTGTCGGTCGAGGATCATTGCCTCAATTAAGGGCACGATGTCTCCAGTCGTACAAACACCGCAAGACGTGTCATCGTCTATGATCGGCGCCAGTTGAGCTGACTGCTGTTGCTGCTCAAGTATCTGGAATCCACCGAACACCAACCATACCAGGCCGGCAAAGGGAACAAGAGTAACGATGCTCTCAGCGGCAGATCGTACTATCCATAGTGCAAAGAACGTGCAGACCACGAAGATAGCGAACTTCTCAACAAGCGATGGTTGGCCAGTAGCGTTAACGGTGGTGAAGCATCCATCGACCTTGGCCCGCTGCTGGAGCCCCCGAGGGCCCTTGGTGGTGGAATGTTTGTCATCGGACTCTAGCCCGGATAACTTAGGCTGTAAGGTATGGGGGCCGCGCGACTGGAAGTCGTCGAGAGCTCGCAGTATGGGCGCATCGGACGCAGTGAATGAGCGGCGCGACATACTCGGCGCCCGTGTGCTTGGGGCGACAGATGTGTACGTGGTAGCGGACCAGTACGTCATGGAGGTTTGGATAGCCTGGCGTGCATACTGTACGCGCTCACTGGGAAGAGTCAGGGGATATATCATGTAGTTGGAGAAGGCAATCACTGACCTTGGATGAGCGGATGATGCGCGACCGTCGCTCGTGACCGCAGCAGCGGGCGCCATAGCGACTGTTGGTACCTTTTCGGCGTGGATACAGGCTCCGTATACCATACAGATAGCCTGTATGTCGATAGTGGAGATGGAACCGGCGCGCTTGTTAGCTGTGCAAAGCTGCAGTTACTGGGTGGAGTAAATGCGAGCTTGCGAGAAGTGGTGGTGGCCCATCGTTCGGAGGCCGAAAGTACGCCTGGGTTAAGTAGAGGGTAGTGTCAGCTGTAGCGCTGACTACACTAGCTCCACACTAGTCGTAGCTGCGAGTGAATGCACGTGAATGGGCTTGTGCGACCATCACGTACAGGCTTGGCGAAGCTCCTCACGCTTGCGATTCCTTCTCTTAATGACGCAAGGTATATACCGCGAAGATTCTGGGAAGCTGTAGTGTAGGTAATATAGGTAGATGATGACCCCAGCGTAGTACTGCGCAGCGATATATGTATATCAACGTGCTCAGCGAGGTGTTTGTTGCTTGTACGACTTACACTCAACGATATTGACCAAACACCTAGCATCTGGGTGAAAGGGAAGTCAGCGCAACAGTCCAGAAGCTTCGATTAGATAAGTACGCTTCTTTTCCTGAAGTCACTGGCTTGGTTCGGGTGGTTTGCCGACAAGGAAACATGATTGGATGGGCGAAAGATGTCGTGGGAAGAACGTAGGAAATAAATCATGGTTCTGATAGGGGTGGCGAGAACAGGGACTTCTGGTCATGATTGAAAGCAGAGAGAAGAGGGACAGTTGAGCTGGACAGCATCTTTCTGACCAGGACTGAAGTTCCGGGACGTAGCAATTGAGGGGTGAGAAGGTGACGCTCACGCGCACAATCGTGAGAATAGTGGGATAATTACAAAGATATAAGAATGAGGGCATTACAAGAGTCGGATTACTCTCTATTAATAGTAGGTAGGTCATGGGGTATCGTGATAAAGTGAGGTCAAAGTGTGTGGACTGAACAAAAGAAAAGTCTCGGATCTACCTCGACACACGCGCATTTTCATCTACCAGCATCTCAGTGCTGTTTTCCCTTTGTGTTTCCTTGCGGGATATATCGTCCGCCCAGGTGGCCTGAGAAGCGGGCGTTCTCCAGCCACTCAGCCTCCTCCCATCGGCACCATCCACCTCTACGTGGATGTCCGTAACGACTTGAATGTCTCTCGCGTCCTCGCTCGAACCATTAGAACGCTTCGTTACGTCTAGAACGTAGTCGTCTTTTGTGCGCAGCGCCTTGCTGCCACCCCTGCTCCCGTAGGTACGAGCGCCTTGTGGGCGAGAGTGGGAATATGCGCTGCGGTGTCTTGAAGGGAATGCCCTTGGAAGCCAATGTGTGATCAAAGGCCTGAGCAACGGCAGACAGGCGCAAATAATGCCGACGTTGGTCTCAACGGAGCTCCATGTCGCCGCAGGCGGGTTGTCGTAACTAGGATCAGCCGAGTTCGAGATGGCGACGAGAGATTGTAGACGGAGAATTGAGACTAGGCAGACACTGCAGGATCGCGCGTTAGTGTGACTTCTTTGTAACAGTTGATGGTAGGGGTATGCCCGCTGAGTAACTCATCACGAGAAGAGCCGGTGGTACAGTGATGCACCGTGCGAAAATCGAGTGAGCTTTGTGTTACACCTTGTAACAGACATCAGGCGCTCGCAGGACGGCCCGAATGGACAAAACAAGGTAACAGCAGGGAGGAATACTCACAATCCGCCAACTGCGAAG